ATGAGGTGCCTGATAGGAATTACTTTATAAACGTTAGCTCAAATGCATAAGTGGCAAATAGTATGGGAGCCCAAAACAAAATGATCCTCACTATTAATTGGTATTAAACTATAGTGGAACTTATTTTCCATTTAAAAATTTCCCTGCCACAATGATGAAATGAAATGCCTATAAACAATCTCATTTCTTCATAGCTTAAGACCGTAATGAATGGGGCTCCAATATGGCAAAGAAGTACATTTGTTTTATTTTTTTTTTTAATCAGGCACATGTCACTACATGCTTATTTGATGGTTTTAGTACTTACCATAAAATTCCTGAAGTTTCTTTTTAAGATTATATGTAGGGAAACAGCCACCATTCTGAATTTTTTTCCCTTGAGGTTGCTGCTGCATATGGATCATGTTTAATCTGAAAAATTGAAACTGTGAAACCTTTCAAACATATCACAAGGGCAAATTTCCATACTTGATCTAATGTGATAGCTTGCAATCAAAATCAAAAATGCACTAAAATTATTATTGTGATGTTACCTTTGGGCTATATGTATAAATTGTATATGCAGTTTAAGTACATTTCTTGTTTAAACTTAGGTCCTGTCCCTGAAATATTGCATTGTGCGTATACAAATATTCCAAACCAAAATATGGTAAATCTGAAAGATAAGCATTTTGGACAAGTGATAGTATATCCTTAATCTTTTCCCCCCATAATTTTATTGAGAAACAAATAGCAATGAGACAGTTTCAAACTAAATTGGTAGGACAGTTTCAATAACTAACACATTGCATACATTCTTCCTAGTGGTTAATTGCTGTACAAGATGCGGACTTGATATCCTATTTACAAACACTATTAGAACAAATCCCTTTATTCATTAAGAGAATATAACTATCTATCCTAACCACTTTGAATACACAGATACAAAATGGACATTCATCTGTATCCCCTTTTTTTTTGTTAAGTTCCATCATTTAATTATTATAGGCAAAAGGTCCTTAATCTTATCTGACATTCATTTCAGAGTAAATTTAGACAATGAAATTTACTTTTATTAAAATAATATTTAATAGTTCATCTCTATTGAAATGGTTTTATATTTGATACAGAAGTAACAGTGGGCAAATTTATAGGAATATTTTGTAGTTGAAAGGGTGCTGGTAGTGCAAAATGTTTGAGATATTTGGGTAAACATGATTATAGCCTTTCTAGTTAGGATTTGTGTCTTCTTTATATACTTGTATGCTAGTCTTACTAAGATGTAATTGAAAAACTTGCACAAATTTGTTCTACACCTACTCTGTAAGCTTTTTAAGGGCAGGAACATGTCATATGGAGCATGTCATATATATCAGGTTTTGCCTGTTTGCAGCACAGTGACTGTTCCAGCCAGTAGGCACTTTTTAATTACTAGATGGATGGAAGCATATATAGATCATAACTCCGAAGCGAAATTTGATTTATAACTGTCAAGAGCATACCTTAATTATACATATGTTATGCCAGTTACTTTGTATGTTATTTAAGATACAGTTATTTTTACAGAATTCTTTGGAAATAAGAGAGTGTTTGATTTTCTGTCAGTCAGTGGATCAATAGACTTAAGCAATAAAGATTCATCCTACTGCACAATTAAATTTGCAGTTGATCTGTTGTAATGAAAAGATCATCAGTACACAGAATTGTTCTTAGTACATACTCTATGCCTATATTGAAGAAGAGAGCTAATATGCTGTCTTAGGTAATTCTTCAAGCTCCTTTTCTATTTTTTTCTTTTTCTTTCCAATGTTCATTGCCCAGAATTGCTAATTTTCCATGCGGTTATCTTTTCACTCTGACCTGTCACATAAAATGTAAATTTATCATTATCTTTTTTATGATATAATACCAGTTTTTCTTTTTGTTATAACTTTTTAGAGTGTCTTGTTTCCAGCCTAGAAAGCCATATTAGATTAATATTAAATGTTTAGATAGATACAGATTTTTAAATTTCTTCAGGGTACAAGATAAGTAAATCTGAGCATTTTCATGTCCTTATATCATAAATAAAATTTGGATAACAGATTCCTTGACCACACTAAGTGTGCATTTATGAAATTTAGAACTGAATAACTTTTTATATTTTGTTCTTTTAATTTTCTAGGTTCAGTAATAGTTATTTTCTAAGGCTAAAAATGTTTCAGTTTATAAATACTAGGGTATTTTATTCGTAGCAAACATTAACAGCAGTTCTCAAATTGTGATCTACTTTTTGTGAGGACATATCAGCCATGGCAACAGAATTTGGGGATGATGTCGATATTTGCTAAAACAGCAATTTTGGTTAGTAGACTTTTTTTTACATATTTCAGATGATTAAAACTAAAACCCAGAAAATAGTACTAATCACATAAAGACACCTTTAATATAAAGATAGGTAACATGCATGTAATTCTCCCATTTGCAAAGATCAAGAGTTTTGAAGGTTGTTTAATTAAAATTCAGTATACTTTTCTGTGAGCAATTATTTCAGAATTCCTAACATTTAAAAGGAGAAAAATTATTAAAGGGGAAATCATTTTTTAAAAGAAGCTAATGCTCAATAATGTTCCATGCTCAGATCTGCAAGTTTTGCTTGACACTAAATTTAGAATGTAAATAAAAATGAATTATAGTAAATATAGTTTAACATTGATGTACAGTTTATAGGAAAAAATTAATATAATCTATAAATATTTCATAAAGTCTTAGGGAAACATTGTAGTGATTGTTACAGAACTATATTTCATTTCCTTTATTAACATCCCCTAGGATCATTCCTGTAATAAACCTTTCATGGGATTTTCTGTCACTGAGTCATCACATATTACATTACATTACATTGAACAAAACAATGATGCTAAAAAATAATATAATTTAAAAATCAGCCCTTGTGGAGGCTTGTTTAATACATTTTCCTTCACAAAAAGTATATGAAAGCATAGTTTGCCAGGTTATAAATATTTTATTGTAAAAACTATTGATTATGATATAAATGCTTACTAATGAAACAATATTTAATACTCAGATACTTAAATCCCTAAAAGTAAAATTTATTAATATTTTGCACAGGGGCCTGGGAGATGGCTCAGTGGAATAAGTGCTTGCCTGACAAGCGCAGGGGCCTGAGATCAATCCCCGGTTCTGCAAAACTGAGGACATAAATGATACTGATTTATAATTGGTGTAATATCTAATCATAGCTTAACTTTCTAATCATAATGTACCTTTTCAGAAAAATATTTTTTCTACAGTGAAGAAATCTGTGAACAAAATTAGCAAGTTTAAAAATATTTTCTCAGTATATTTCATGAAAATGAATATAAGGGATATATTTGACATTCATAAGGAATGTTTCTAGAAATATAGATTATTTTTCATCAAAGAAAGTAACAAATTATGATGAGCCAGAATTCTATGATGTCTATAAATTTTAAGTATGAAAATAAAAGAGGAATGTGTGTCTACATACATGTATGTAACATATAAAAATATATATGAGGTGACCCTCTCTAGAATTTTCATTTATACTTTTACTGCTTACCCTCTTTACGAAAAAAACTGCCAAAAATGTGTCACCAATTTCTTTAAATTATTTTTTTCTACATCTGTGTTTCAATAAAATATTTTTTCAAGTATACCTCCCATCTGTTTTAAATATAGCATTGATGATACTTGCTAGAAATTGGCTGATAAAATATTTTTTAGAATATTTCCACTAAACAACTACATTTCCTGATAAAATTTTAACAAGTTATTTTGGCCTGTCCATTTTAGTGTCTGGAGTCAGAAAAACATTCTCTTCAGTGTTTTGTCAGTGACATAGCAATCACAGCTTTTGATGCATCCACTGAGTTAGAAAACATTTGTGTCTTTGTGATACCAAAATATATTTTTAAATGTTAATGGCTATTTCAAGGGCTGGGAAGACAGCTCAGTGGAATAGGTGCTTCCCTGGCAAGCACAAGGACCGGAGTTCAATCCCTGGTTCTGCAAAAAAAAAAAAAAAAAAAAGCTATTTCAACTGTAGAGCTCATGGAAAAATACCACACTTATATTTTCATAGTAGTATTTGTGGCTGGACATTTCAACATAAAGTAACAAGCAGTTTTTAACATGTGTAGAGTTCATATGATCATATTAAATTGTTATAAATATTCATGTGACTGCTGTGATTTTTAATAATATGGTAGTGAACCCTATTTTTTTAAGTGTAGCTATGCCTGCCAAAAAAGAAAATTACCTGCCTTATCAGAACACTCATTCTGCAGATGCAGATAGATGATTCAGGTAATATAATTCTCACATAGCTTTAACCTACCCAAAAACATTGAAAATCTTAAAACTAATAATTAGGAATTATTAATTATTTTATGATGTTAAATGTATTTTAGTTTAATTGAAAAGCAAATGATATTATTGTATTGACCTTCATCTCTAAAATCAGTCATGAAACAATTAAGGTACTTGTGAATAACCCAAAAATTACTAGATCATAAGGAACATGAAATTAATGTTTTGAAGAGACTTAAACTAGAACTTTCCTACTGCTGTCTTTGTTAATTGTTTTACGATTTTGCAGTTTTTTTCTATATGCTCTACAGATCAGGATTTCTTCAAAATTATAATAGGTGAAGAGTCAAGAATATTGTGATTTTGAAACTAAAAATGTTATTGATATGTCATTATGATTTCTTCCTTCTAAAATTACTGGTTTCTTATAAAAATCTATTGCCAAATGAAGACTCAAAAGAAATTGTATTTAGTATTTTGCCTTGAAAATTTATTTTTCCTTGGAAATTAAAATTTCACAAGATAGTTTTATTAAAATATCATAAAAATGACTTTAAGTTTGCTGTATTTATATCCAATTATATTTGAACTAATTTGCATTTAATCTTACTTTTTCTAGGATAGCAAAGTAATATAATGTATGTGCGCAAAACAGAAGTATTATTTATACGTATTTTTTTTAATTACAG